AAAAATGAATTACTCCTTTGATGTCCCACCAAATGCAAAGCGTCACTTTCTATGGATGGAGTCCAGGTTTTGGGACCGAAAGTGGTTTTTGTCTAGGACTGAGCCACTGATTTTGGTGTTTATTATTCGCATAAAGAATCCATTTTTCATCACCGATGACAATTCTGTCCAAAAATGGTTCACGAGCATTATGTGCTAGAAGAGACAAAGCAACGTTCAAATGTTGGAAATGATGATCATCGGACAGTTCGTGAGGCACCCAAACACCTTCTTTATGGAGCTTTCCCATAGTCCTTAGGTGTTTACATACTGTTTCATGAGAGACATGCAATTTCAAAGCCAGTTCACGAGTGTGTTGCCTCTTAAGAGCATCAATATCAATTCTAACATGTAGGCCCTGTCATCACAGTTTTTAAGGCTAAAGTCACCTGAATGAAATTTCCTGAACCATCGTTGACACTTACAAACATTCAAAACATTTCCATAAACTTCTTTGATATTCTTTGTGGCATTGTTTCCCTTCTTGTATTCAAACAGCATTACATGCCAAACGTGTGCCTCATCGTGTACCATCACTATAAGGTATAAAAGTACACTAAACTTTACACATTATACAGGCTACACTAATGTGATGTTTAGGCAGTTTGTTTAACTATTATACATGAAGTATGTTTTTGGGGGTGGTGGTTAATGAAAGTGTTCCAAAATGCGACATTAATTTCTTGACAATCTAAAATTAATATGATGAAAAGGCATTCTTGCATGTTGTTAATCACATAAGTTGTTTAGAAAATACTTTTATAACTAAGTGTATGCAATTGAAAAAACAAAAACAGGGAGAACCTGTCTGTTCATAGAGTTGCTACACTTTAAGGTAGACTGGTTTGCACAAATCCCACCCTCATCAGTAACCTTGAACCAAAGAACAACACTATTCCTCCTAAAATAATGAACTGCAGTTATTATGTAGTATGTAATTTCTTTTACATACCATAAGTAACCTATTTTGATATGTGTTTGTAGTGCTAATTACACATCTCATAACCAATATTAATGTATGCAAATTTTCACCACAGTACCGGCTATCCACATTTACACATATATTTTACACATGAATATTTTGAAATTAAATAACAGGTGACAATGTAACAGGTTATTTAGCAGTTCCATAAAATTATAGGTAAAAATAAAAGCATACTAGCTGTCTTTATGTCTCAATATAAATGTTCCATATTTCTTGAACAAGTCAAAATGTAATTGACTACCACACTATTCCATCTATTTATTTTAAAATACATTATGCTTCAAGTGCAGAAATCCAGTTTCAAGTATTAGTAAAGAGAGTCACTTACTATAGAGTAATATGCTTTGATGAAACAATGACGTAATACAGAATTATTCTTCTCTAAAGTGGTCTCAATACTTCTGATTTAACTTGAAAGTTTTGTACAAATAAGAGTTACAGAAAACATTTACATCATATTTCTAATGAGAAATGTTTTTAAGAGCTATTCTTTGTTTGGAAATACTGAAACCATCCAGTAAAATTAATTACAAGCATTTATACATTAATATTACCTAACCATTTCTTTTTTAAAACATTTTGATTAGTAATCGTGTTGTTCAGCAGGATTTATTTTATTTATGGGAATCCATATATAAAAATTACATATTTATTATGATGTGTGATTTGTTTTTATACAACTCGTAATTTGTAATACTGCACCAAATTGCTATAGATATTACAGCGTAAAAATTGTCCTCTATCAGAGCTGTTCAATAAATTTCAATAGTTAATTATACATTTTCATAAAGTTACATTACTACTGTATATAGTCAGGATTTCTGTTTAGTTTTGTTAACATTTGTTGAGCAACAAGTTCTTAGAAATGCTTTTTAGAAACGGAAGATAGTATAGTGAGAGGCTGATGATCATAAATTATAACTTTTGTAAGTTGTTTTAATCAGACACAAATAATGTCGATCTCACAAGAAAGTAACTAGCAGAGTATTTTGCATTACATTAGAGGCTCACATTCAGACAAAAAGTTTGTTTAACTACAATAAAAATGTGTATTAACCTCTCAGAAACTATGTCTTTCTTCTATGAAACCACAGTGTTGTAAAATAGATGTCGTATATTGTTAAGCATTACCTATAAAATAAAGTACATCCTTCTTTTAGTTTCTGTATATAGCTAAAGGTTTTCCTTTTTCATAAAAATCTGCTCGTTTCAATTCAATATTATAAAAGGTAAAAGTGTTCTGGTAATTTTAAGGCAGTGCCTATAAGTTATGCAGTGATTTTTTGATAACATATCCCAGTCGACCTGATGAGTTGGATGATTGGGCAAAAGGACTCAATGGCACTATATATTAGCAAGCAGATATAATGCAAGTTTTTTTTAACTTTAATTTATAAGTTCTTAGAAATACTAATGCAGTCTTCTCCACTGATGCTGTGGTTGTTCTTCCCACTCCTGGAACAATAAGACTAGATTACTGGTTCATCAATTCTTCTGAATGATAAGTAAGGTTAATGCATGTTAATATGAATAAATAACTGGGGTAAAAGTAATAAATTACACTTCCAAAACATAATCCTAGCTCACACCATAACAGTTGTTGTTCATGCATCATGATAATATAAATAGTATCTCAACCACTAATATGGACTGATATTTGGCAAAATACTTCATCAGTGTTAGATATGGCAGGTACAGCACAGTTGACATATTTTTATACATCCTTCTTTACCTCTTATGTTCTTAGGATTGATGTGCACACTAAAATTGATTGTTAATTTCATTTGAGAAACCTAAAAAACCTTCTGACGTTTAGAGTCGAATACAGTGGTTACGAACATATTTAGATAATCTGTATATGAAGAATTTCATGTTACTTACTTGAAACATTCATCAATACAAACAAAGACACCACACCAATGAGACACCCAATCTAAGTCACGGTTCAAGCCTCTTTTGGCTACACTCAGTGGTACAGCTAGACAAGATTTATAAAAAAAATTATTTAAAAACATGAACATAATATTCCTCCGATAATCAAATTGCTTACAACTTAAAAAACAGTAACTATATAAAATTTTTTTCTAAAGGAAAAGAAGATTGTTTCTTTATGAAAAATGTTTGTTTGTTTTGAATTTCGCGCAAAAGCTACACGAGGACTATCTGCACTAGCCGTCCCTAATTTAGCAGTGTAAAACTAGAGGGAAG